TGACACATGCAGGTTGCCTCAGGAAGTTCTAAAATCTGAAGCAGTCACAAGACTACTTAGGAGGAGGACCCCAAGTTGTATCATCAAACTCTCTGTATCCATCTAGACAGACCACGCCACTCACACGACACATTTAAAAATCTTAACAAATGAAAAGAATTTAATTACCCATAGGAAACAGATCCATGATGAATGGTCCTCCCCAGCTTGAGAACTGCCAGCAGAAATGGGGACTCTTCTATGCATGTCCTGACTTTCCACCATGGACAAGGGACTAGGAAGTCCCTTTTCAATCAGTTGTATATTCCAGTGGCTACTAGCACATTGTGTGTGTTACAGTATATATCTTCTCCTGACCATCTGAGGAGAGAGTGGTTAGAGGGACCAGCAGAGATTGTTATTCCGTTAGCCCACCAATTACCAGCCTTGGTTGCCAGAGGCAAATATGATTTGCCTGAAAATTAAGATTTTTTGGTGAATGGATTGAGTTGTTATATGCTGTCTAGTCAGAACCAACTCATAGCTGATTCTCCAGTGGAGTTTCAGGAGCAATAAATTGCAAGACAAGAGATTGTACATCTCCCAATCATGGGTCAGCTGAGGGATTTAAACCACCTGCCTTTGGGTTGGCAGCACAACTCCTTGCCATTAGGCTACCAGAGCTCTCTGCCTCGCTCTCTATAAATACATACATATATATGGTACAATGAATTACATAACAGCTCTTCTAGCCATAGACTTCCATTTTCCCATTCTATTAATAGCTTGTCTATGCTTAAGATCTTATTTTGGAGCAAGTTATTTGTTACGTTAAGGAGGTAGGGTTAGAGTGGGATGCATTCTGAAGCCTCAACTGTACTGCAAGGTATAACCCAAGTCATCACCCTTAGTTCTCTTGGGAGTGTGTTTTATAGCCCTAAGATCCGCAGTGGGTGAATGTTCCTAGGAGGCTGAACACTTTTCTTTCTAAACAGTGTATCTAGCCTGATCTAGTTATTCTGACAACTAACAGCCTCAACCTGCAGTTGCCTGGCCAGACTCTGCCAACTGTGCACGTTGCACTATCGACAACAATTTCTCTGATGGTTTTTTTAGTTTCTGTGAGCCCTTCCAGTGAATTACAAAATCCAAAGACACAAACAGGAGTGAAAGGGCTGAGGAGAGGAGGAATAATCAATGTTAGAGAAGATGAAGAGGTACAGTTTAGAAAAGTTAGACGTTTGGCACATTGTTCAGTTCAGCTTTGTAGGAACCAGTCTTGTACTGATCTTCATAAAAGGAATTATTTATGGTGTAATATCCAATTCTCAGTCTAAAGTTTATCATTCAAAATGTTTTTTCCAGCCAATGATGAATTTTATTTTGTGCTAATGCAGTTATTGTATTAGGGAGAGATATAAGCCCCCCCCCTTTACTAGAGGCTTACATAAGCTCATGGGACCTCAGTGCTAGTTCTCGTTTTGGGATGCCTGCCTTTCCAGTTACACTACAACTGATAGTCTACAACGTTTACCCATCTCTGCAAAACCAGCCTGCATACCTATAGACAGGTGAGTCATTCCCCTGATGGATCTGAGTCTCTGGGTGACCTTTTGAACCCAAGGGACATAGAGGAGCTAGGAAACTGAAAAAAAAAAAAGGAGGGGATGTTGATGTCAGAAATCATGGAGTTCAAGCATGTGGAACAACTGACTCGACACTTCTTTGCTCAAGCCCATAATGGTAATCGCTGCTTCCGTCCATCTCATTGAGAGTCTTCCTCATTCACTGACCCTCCAGCTTTCCCAGCATAATGTCTCTCTCCAAGGACTTGTTCCTCCTGAGAATATGCCCAAAGTGAGTGAGACTAAGTTTACTATTCCTGATTCTTAGGAGCACTTTGGTTGTACTTCCTTTAAGACTGTTTCGTTTGTTCTTTTGGCAGTCCTTGATGTATTCAATACTCTTTGTCAATACTACAATTCAAAGGCATCGATTCTTCTTCTGGCATCCTTATTCACTGTCCAACTCTCAAATGCATAAGAGGTGAATGAAAATATGGCTTGGACCAAGTACACCTTAGTCTTTAAATGGATATCATTGCTCTTTAGAGCTTTGGAGAGGTGCTTGACAACACATTATCCCTCATGAAACACATCTTTTGATTTTTGGACTGCTGCTACGATGCATGTCAACTGTGGATCCAAGTAATATAAAATCTTTGACAACTTTAATATTTTCTCCACCTATCATTGTATTGACTATTGGTCCAGTCGTGAGGATTTTTGATGTTGAGATGTAAGCTGTATCGAAGGCTGTAGTCATTGATCTTCTGCAGTAAGTACCTCAAGTCCTCACTTTCTGAAAGCAAGGTTGTATCATCTGTATAAAGCAGGTTGTTGATTGTGTCTGCGTCCAATCCCGATGCAAACATCCAATAACAATTTGAACGTGGAATAGATGATATATAAATCTAGCAAAATTGTAAATTGTAAAAAAACTGAAACAATGCATAAAAGTTAACATCCTAGGGTGGGATGAACTGGTATTGGCCATTTTTAATCAAACAGTCAATCACATGATTCAGAGAAGGGTTTAGGATCTGGCAGGGTTCCAACCGGATGACACCTAACTTGCGCCTATCCAAGTTTAATTGTCTGAATAGTTAGATTAAATTAACAAAATCCTAAAAGGAGCTTTTAAAAATATTCAACGCAACAGATTTTAACACATTTGAGCTTGAGAATAAAGGGTACTAAGGTCATCAGCCCCGGTGGGTGAGTCTTCAGTGTTTTTCCTCTAGGGTGGGAATCCAAGTTCAGAGCTTCCAAGGCAGGTGCAGGCGGCAACGCAGAGGCGAGGCCTGGCGGTCACGTGGCTCGAGCCCGCGACTCTGAAATCCAACCAGAGAGTCGCGAAGCCTCCGCGGTTCCTAGAAGGGACGCCAGGTGGAGGCGTTCCGATCGGCGTGCGGAAGTGGAGTTAGAGGGTCGGGGGGCTGCTGGAGGCTGCAGCAGGGAGGGTCCCCAGCCAGCCAGGGATCTGGAGAGGGGAACCCAATTGCCGCGGCCCCGGCAGGTAGACACAAACGCCCACGCTGATGACTTCCCGGAGGAGGAGCGCTCTGTAAGGTCAGAAGTGCACCGGAGGCTTGAGAAGGAAATCACTGGTCGGACGGACTGGAGCGGTCAGGGCGAAGCCACGCTGGTACCTGCTGCTCCAGGGGAGAGAACACCCCCCCCCCCCCAGGAAATGACTGCCACTTTCCGAGAGTCTTCAGGGCCCGCGGCGTGATCTTTTTCATACTTTCGGCAGTATCAGGTGTTTGCATGGAAGAGGAACAAAGTCAGATGACTGAATGACTGTTGTTGGGGCGTGCATTTAGTAGGAACCGACCCATCACAGACCCTCCAGCAGGTCTTCAGAGGCTCAATTGAATGGGAGGAGATTATCCATCTTTCTCCCGTGAAACAGCAGGTGGATTCGAACCGTCTTTTTGTCTTTTTTTGGGTTGCCAGCACAACTCCTTACCAGTAAGGCTCCAGAGCTCCCCTGTTGTCGTTAGGTGCTGTCAAGTCGCTTGTGACTCCTAGCGACAGCTCTGAACCCTGCTCTATCTTGAGTTAGCCTCATTGTGATACACCCACCCCCAGTACTCCTGTCAGTGAGTCAATCCATCTCATCCAAGGTCTTCCTCTCTTGCACTGCCCCTCCACCTTTCCAAGCATAATGTTTCTTTCCAAGGACTGGTTCCTCCTTGCAACATGCCCAGAGCTCCTGAGTTAGTACTGTTTGGTTTGGTTTTGTTGTTGGAGGCGGGGAGATTGTGATTACTGATAATATTAAAATAGCTGAAAGTGTTCACAGTATTCTGATGTAGTATTTTAGCTTATGCTATGATGTTGATTTCTAAATGCCCAGTAAAATCTGGTGCACAATAAAAAATCCATATATGGTAGAGCCAATAAGGATCCACAGTGCCCCAATGGGACAGAGTAGAACTGCCCCACTGAGTTTCCAGATTTCTAAGTCTTTGTGGAAGTCTGCAGCCACACACCATTTCTTCAGGTTGATTGGCTGCCAGGTGGGTGTGAGCAGGAGAGGATTATTCGTCTTTCTGCTGTAGAGCTGCTGGTGAATTTGGGCCACCAGAGTGGCCTTGTCTTTGGTTTAGCAGAGAAATTCCCTAGTAACACGACACCACAGCATCCCTGTAGACATAGTACATATGCGATTTTCAAGGGGAAACTTCGTGATTGGTTACTGTCTGCACAGTTGGCAGAAAGTGTGGCTTCAGTTCAGATGAGTTCCTTTAACTCACGGATCTGTACAGGTTAAAGTTAACTTAATCTTGTGGTAAGGTGTCTTCCAGCATGATTGTTTCAAAAAGTTTTTCGTTAACTCTCTTTCTCTCCCATCCCACACACACTTTCAGTTCCCCCCTTCCACATCCTCCTCTTAAATGGGATATGTACATCAGACACTGATGGAGTTGAGACTGTTCCAAGGATAAAGACAGGTAAACCTGTCCTTAGGGAAGTACTGATCAGACATGCTAAATGGGAACCATTAGAATTAACTGAACCCACTTGGGTTGTTAATTTGAAGCAGTAAAGTTCCTGGTGGACAAAAGAGATTATTTTGATTAAACATAAATTAGAGGACTAAACACAGGGGCTGTGTATTAGCTAAGGCATTTGAGAGGGCCTCATTCTTGGCCCTATTAGAATTCCCTTTCTCAGGAGCTCTGGTCGTATAGTTTATAGGGAGTTGCAATGCTAACCCAAAGATGGCAGCTCTGGTGATTCAGATTCACCAGCAAGCTTCTCAGAAGACATGCAAGCCATATTCTGTGTGATTTACAGCCTCCTGAAAACCCCATGAAGGGTCAGCTTTCAGGCAGTTCCAACTTGATGTCAATGTGTTTTCTCTCAGTTCTGCCCAGTGAGAAAGATTCCAATCACTGCAGGCCTCTCTCACCACATTTTTCTACCCTTCATTGTAGCCAGAAAGCCAAGATCATGCCCCTTCTCAAAGACCAGGCTATGGAAGCTGTGATCCTGACAGCCAGGTGGAAGGTAAGCTGTCATTTCCTCTCTGCTTCCTTGGACGTCATCACTGCCCACCAGGTATAGCTTTAATTCTTGTGTGAAATCTTTTGGATCAGTTTGGAGATTTTTTTTTCCTCTCTTGGAAAGTGTGATGTAAAAAGGTTGAATTCAGAGAGGTTCAAATCTAGGTTCTGATACTCTTTAGATGTGTTATGTTGCCTTCTGCCAGTTCCATAAATTCCCTGGGCTAACGCTTAACACAACCTTATCTATAAAATGAAATAATGACAGTACTGATCAGAAATGTTTGTGAGGGTTAAATGAAATAAAGCATGTAAAAAAAAATAAAGCATGCTTTAAGTGGTATCCTGTTACAGTTAAGGTGCTTTGTAAATTTCAGCTATGTAGCTGTCTTTGCTCTACAGTGAGCGTTCCTGTGCGGCTGTTATACACTCTGTACTATCCCCTGAGCTGTAATGAGACACATACTATGTTTTTAGCAGGAAGATAAACTCTTACCTGAGAAGTATATGGAAATAAGTTCTGAATTGTTAGTATTAAAAGGTTCAGTGGAAGCTTAGTAACTTGATTTATTACATTGTGGAAGATAATTAAAAGGACTTTAGTTTAAAAGTAAAGTCGATAAGGAAGCACAACAGGAAACAGGTCTTGGATTATAAATGTGGAAGTTGTGCAGCAAATGTTTTGGAGTTGTTTGTTTTTTTTGTTTTGTTTTTTTTTGTGTATATATATATAGATATGTTGTTGTTGTGTACCATCGAGTCAGAACTCATAGCTCCAGTGGGTTTTCAGAGGCAGTTAATCATAAGGGAGGAGATTGCCCATCCTTATTCCACGGAACAGCTGGTGGACTTGAATTATGTGCCTTAGGGCTTGCAGCACAGATTCTTGCCATTAGGCCACCAGAGCGCTGTGTGTGTGTGTGTGTGT